CTCTAGATCCTGCTTCTTTGGCGGCCACCTCCTCATCCAAAGCCTTGATCTCCCCCTTCAGTTTGGCCGCCATTTGAGCCGCCTTCTTCAACTTTTGCTTCTTGCCCATCGTAAAAGGATAAAATATAAACGTGGGATTTGCGCACAAAAAAGTTTTATGAATAATTTCCAAGCGATGCTGACGCACGTGAGGCGATTTGACAGAAAAAACCGGATATTCGAGAAACTTTCAAAGTGTTGGTAAACGCACGTATTTCGTTTGACAGATCAAGTTATCGATGTATCTTTCGATGGTATCGATTGCTTCGATGTAAAACATTTAAAGTGTAAATAGGCTATTTTCGGTTTAAAAACGATTTAATATATCATCCAAATTAACTTTTTTTAAATACATTAACCCAAAGATCGTCAAACTTCGAAAAGATCCGTTTCAGTAGTTTTGGTTCGGTCACCGTATTCCAAAATGGCAACTCGATAAAAAACTTTTAAGGTTTTTTTCGGATAGATGAAAAAGTTAAATTTTAATACCGTTTAGTAGTTATTTTTCTTCCCATAACCATTGCATCTTCCATGTAGTATATTTCGTGTCCGCACCCAAGAGCTCTTTGTAAACAATTTAACTTTTCCAAGCAGCTGTTGCTTGCGAAGCGTAATAAGCAACATAAATTGCTGCTTTCACAAAAGTTTATAATGCAATGAGTGGCCACTGAAAGTCAAAGGCTGAAACGAATTGCTATTGAGGCAGTCAAACTCAACTGCTGGATAAGCAAACAAGATTGAACGTACAGAGCAGGTCAGCCCAAATCTATCGATATCGATATTTTTCGGTGCAGAACGGAAACGGATTAAAAAAAGTTAGCAGCTCCATGTTGAAAAATAGCTGCTATTTCTCAAATCGAAAATTGGTGTTATTTCTTAAACCGAAAACCGGTGTTATTTCTCAAACCGAAAATGACATCTGCTTGCGAAATTTTCACTTTGCTGGTAATAAAAGTTTTGCGGCAACGCCAAACAAATTCAATTGAAATTGATTATTGGAAAGCCATGGCTAAGACGTGCCACTCGCAGGAATATTTTTGTCTGACAAAGCCAATTGAAAAAAGCCGAGAAAGTGGAAAGTGCAGCAGTGGGCAATATTTGCATGTGCAAACAAGTCGCGTGTCGCCGCGGGAAAAGTGGAAGACCGGAAATGCAATGGGAATGAAAATGGCGGAGGAGCAGGATGTGGTGAGCACAAAGGCACATCACATCTGGAGCTATTTTCCTCCATTTTAATTGCAGTCGTGGTCGCGGTTTGTCGGCAGTTAAATTCGAGGAGGAGGTGCCGCAAAAACACGGTTTGCGTGGAGCGAAAGCGGTTCCAGTGGTTCCCTCTGCGGTTTTTTGGCTCTAGAGGACACACAGGTTCTGTGGATGTGCCTCTGCCCTTGTTTGCATGTAAAGCACAACGGTTTGCTGTTAAATATATTAAATAAAGTGCCACGCCCCATTAGCGCACCTTGCTCGCTCAGGAAATTACATTTACATTGCGATTCCATTTTTTTTGTTGCCGCGTTTAAAGGTATATTGGAATCGTGATCCGGTTTTTGCTCAAAGCGGAATTTTTATTTAAAAATCAGAGCACAATTCGAACAACTTAATTCCGATTTTGGGAAAAAAGTATGTATATATAAGTTGGTCTGCACTTTGATATTTCCAATGGGGAAAGATATAAATAATGCTATCATAAGACTTGTTTTTTATATCCTATATTTTACTTAGGGAACATTAACATAATTAAAACATTTTCGGTTTACTGAAACTCGTTTTTATTTTTAAATTCTTATAAAATAAATAGTTAAAAAGGATATAAACTACAGTTTTGATTGGACTACCAATATACAAATTTTTTATAAACCTAAAATATTTTTTTGAAAAACGTTCAAAACAATTTTGAAAAAAAATTTTGTCAAATCAAAAGTTCCATTTTTATTACACCAAAAATTGAAAAACTTGTTATAAAACTGTTGTTATTATAAAACAATTTCTTGAAGGAAACCATTTATATATTTTTTTAATTAAAAAGTATTTGCCAGCCTTGCCCAACCAACCCTCGTTTTTTTCCGCCATTCGATGTGCTCGGCCCGATGATGCGTTTTTAATTGCTCGGTTCTTTTAATTAAAGTGCGAGCAAAAGAAGGGAGCGCCGCCGCCTGCAATTATTAAACTTTATCGCAGGTCAACGCCTAATTGAGTTGCATAAATTATTCAGTGGAGGCAAAACAGTAGGAGTAGAGTAGCAGGAGAGGGACCCCAAAGGATGTTGCACCGCAAGGTCTGTCCTGTCACCTTAATTGAATTGAAAAGGCCAACTAATCAGATATTCCCTTTTGCCAGTTGTGGACTGGCATTGGGTTTTATAAAGAGCTAGCTGGCCTTTTAACTTTCTGCTTCGATTCGATCCAATGTGTGTTTCGCTTCAGTTGAGTTTTGTTTTTTGGGGGGACACAGAGAAACTTTTTGGCCGTCCTGGCACGTTCGTCCCATGATTAATTATCCCTATACCATGTGCTGCGGTGCGGTGTCATCTGGTGCCCATCATCCAACTTATTGGGGCTTAAGTCTTGGCTTTGGAGTTTAGTTTTTCGCCACACGGCCTGTGCATGAAAAATGAACCCAATCTCGAGGCCAAGGAGACATCATGCCCAAGTCCATTAGAAAAACCGGGGGGCAGAAATCTGTAACACATTAATCATGCATGTTTCGAGAAATGATTGAAATCATATTACCATGTCTAAAGACATGTTGCAACTAAAGATGTTTCCGTAATTGAGATGTTAGCCGAGACATTTATATCGTCTCGTATAACCATCCCCTTTGCCTGCTAATGAATTTCTAAACTGATGGATGCTTGTGTTTGGCTTAATTTTATTACAATAAGTGAGTCAGCACAATTTGCTGAAGAAACTAGTTCGGAATAGTATGGAATCTTAAGGTCCCTACATTATTGATTTGTTGTTTGTACTTGTTACTGTTTTTGTTAGTGAGTCAGCAAGTTGTACAGGAAACCGCAAATAAGAATATTGATTTTATAACAGATTGGGGCGATTACCTATTGATTGATGTTTTTAGTAATTTAAAAGTAAAGCTGTTTTTAAGAATAAACATATTTGTTACAAGTCGACAGGCTATTTTATTTGTTATCCCGTTTCCTTTGAAAATTTGAATTTGATTTCTTTTTTGGAGCTTAATCCTTATATTTGTGACTTTAATAACGGAAGTTATAATTGAAATAATTGTACAAATTCTTTTGGCATTCTTTTTTCATGTTTTAATTTATATATTTTATGTTATTTACTATCAACCACAGTAATAGCTTAACATTTGTTTATGTTTTTATAAATAGAACGTATTTAATTATTGTATTTCGATGTGGAAGGAAGTAACTTTTCCTTAATGTGCAAGTAATTTAATACTTCCTTCAAGAAACTTGAATTTATTACAGATAGAGGCATTTACTTCTTGATTGATGTTCTTAGTAATTTAAAAGTAAACTAGTTTTCTTAAGGGAAACATGTTGGCTACCAGTTGACAGGCCATTTCATTTGGTATCTAGTTTCCTTCGATAATTGGACGTTTCTTTCTTTTCGGGGGCTTAATCTGCCACATATTTTCGATTCTGTTGACGAGCTGGAATCCCATTTTGTAGGCGGTTTCTGGCTGAAATTATCCCCATCCCAAATATGTCAACCTTGAGCAAGGCTAAAGCGCTTATCGCCAAATGACCCAGAGAAACTGCGGTAAGGAAAATCAATTTCCCAACGTCTGACATTTATTACCATATAAAGAACAAGAAATACACGCTAAGCATTTGGAAGCAGAAATCACCGGAGGCTAAAGTGAACCCTCGCAAAAGAGGAGGAATTTACAACAACAAAAAATAAACAGGAAACTGCAGTGCCATAAATGTGCTCGAACAACAACAAAGATTCCGCTCCAAACCATTTCCCATTTCCCACCTGCTCGCCCCTAAATTTGCCTTTGTGCGCCATTGTGTGAAAATATGAAATATGGAAATGCCGGAAAAGCGAAAACTTGTCCCTGGCACAATAAAATGCAATTTCCCACAAGAGGCAAACAGTGTTCTCCCCCCCCCCCCAAAAAAAAATATACATTGCTAATTTCCGGTAACAACAATAAGGAGCCACCCCAGATACTTACAGTGTACTTTGCTAAACCACCCATTCTGAGTAGCAGCTCCAGGTTATTAGTTTAAATTCCTGCATACATTTTTAGTTGCCAAGGAAAATGCGGGTTTTCGGCTAATTGAAAATGAAAAGTTATTAAAAACAATGTTCATACAAGGGAAAACATGCTCTACAGTTTAAAAATAGTTTAACAAGTGCCTAAAAAATATTGTAAGTTATTTTTGGTCTTACTAAAAAAATTGCAAGGTAAAAAATGGTTAACTCAAAGCAACTCATGTGGCAACTTTCACTCATGCATAAATTATTACTTTTTTACGCTAAATGGCGATTAAATTTACATAAAAGAAAAATAAGGAAGATTTTTCCGCTTTTTTCATTTAAAAAATTCAATAAATAAATGTAAAGAGAACAAACTTTTTGATGTGTGAACAGTTAAAAAACGGAAGTAATATTTATAAGCTTGAATAAATTGTAGAAACTCAGTAAGCAGACGTGGGATTTAAATTTAAATTTTTATTTATTAAATGTTTCGTTTTCCTTAAATAAATGATTTTAGTCACATTTTGTCGAATTTTAATGCTCTGTTTTCTGTGTGTCGAATTAACTCAATAATAATATTGTCAAAATATTGTTTGAACATCATATCATTTTACAATGTAGTTATCTGATTTATTTTCGCATTTCCAAGTGGTTTGGGGGTTTCTTTTTCTTACAGTGCCCTTGGGCTGAAATAATCTTTAATTGTGCCCTTGGGCTGAAATACAAATCCTTTTGTTTATGCTGTGCTAATTAATTACTTTCCCCCTCTTCCAGGTGTGCCGATTATCATGGCAAGCAATGTACAACAACGGCAGCAAGATCCATGCACCACAACTGAAGAGCCGAAGCACCAGCGAGCACGACGAGCAGCCAAAGGTCAGGGTTCAGCGGCGGGAGCATGCCAATCGTGGTCTAGTCAGCGATCTTCGTTTCATCACCAGCAGGAGCAGCAGGATCGGCAGGTTGGCCAGCAAAGGGAGCAAGTGCAGCAGCAGCATCAGCAGCACCACCACCAGCAGAACTATAGAAATCCTCGCCAGCACGAGCTACTGCATCACCAGCGAAAAGTGCCGCCGACAATCCCCGCCCGCGGTCGCCTTTTGATCAGCGAAGGAGCTCGTAGGCGCGAGGTGAGGGGCTGCGGGGCGGGGGGCGGCGGTCTCCTATGCTGCAGCCTGGACGCACTGAGTCGTCCCGCCAAGCTACTGCAATTCGGAGTCCTCCTGCTGATCCTGCTGCTCGCCACCCATGGAGATCTTGTGCAAGCGGAGGGCAATGTTGGTAAGTGTCCATCGAATAATATACATTTTTAAAATTTTAAAAACATAAAAAAAGGTGGAAAGTGGTTGCAGACTGGCAGAGACAAATATTTTTGAACAAATATATATTTTTAAAAAAACTTCAGAGCAGCAGCACACACATTGTTAATTATCCCTGGTGTCTTTAGATTTCCCTGGCCAGTTAACACGCCTCCTGCGTTAACTTTTTGTGTGTTGTGGCGAAAACACAAACCCGTTTAATTAAAACTTTGACGCACAAAACCAACCACGCAGAGCAACACGGTAACACGGTAACATGGCTTTTAGCTCCGATCCCCATACGACAAGATGGCCCATGTACATATATATATATAGTATATGTCCAGAGTTTTGGGAGCTGTGCAAATATGTTTTTAACTAGTTTAGCCTGCACCGTGCATAATCCAATTGGCCGGGGCGAGGAATTTGGGAGTGCAACAGCCGCTTTCTGCATTTCAGCTACACGTTTGGGCCAGGAAATGGCCTCTACGGCCGGAATCGACCCAAAGAGCTGGCTAAACGAGTTACAGTTGTTGCCCAACGAAAACAACTATCATGTGCAAAGTGCAACAGGCCCCGATGTGAAGGGAATATCGTTTAAGCCAATTACGAGTTGATTTCAGTTGAACAACTGAATGAAACAGACCTGCAAATAAGAGATTTTTTGGTATTGATTTTCGGAAGTCAGAAACTCAATTAAGTCTTGGATTTGTTTTTGTTTTTTTGGCGAAATTTCCACCCGATTTTAACAAGCTGATGAAATAAGATTTTAAATATATTGTTGCATACTGTATTAGTAGTTTCAAAACCCAATTGTATTTTTCTTGTGAAAGTAATCGCATTTATATGCGATTAAAAGAGGAGGTTTTTATACATCTTATGCATCAGCTTATAATTGCCAACTGTTTTGGCCTGTTTAAATATTTAAAACAAATTCGCACATTCGATCAAACAAAACATTTTTGGCTTATGAATATTTCAAATGAATTTATTTTAGCTTAATAAAATATTTTTGCGAAACATTTGTTTACTTTTCTTGCTAAATTATTTAAATGAGCTAATAGTTTATTCGTCGGACTCATTAAATAGCGATTAAATGTTTATTATTTCCATCAAATGCATCTCTTTCAAGTCTCGTTTTATCTTTTGCGAATTAGCATTTCCGAGAAATTTTCATTGAGGATTTCCATGTCATAATCTGATTGACGTTATGCTTTTTGTTTAGCATCCGAGGGAATTAAATCTTCGTAATTATTTTAGACCGAGCATAAATTGGCTACCACAAGCTGTCAGTTTCTCTTTCGGAAAACTGAACTTGTGCCTGTGCTAAGCATTTTCCAGCTTATCGTATTCATCTCGCTGCAAGTTCCCTTCGTATTCATGGCCATGTTGCCATGTTATGTGGCGGCATCAACTGCCAAGGATGCCAGGGGTTGGTTTTCGCAGCACTCACAGCTCATATCCTGGGCACCAGCGCTTCCATGCTGCCATGACGACAACTAGTTGCTGCTTTTGTTGGCCATGTAAATGTGCAGCTTTCGTTACAGAGACCACATGCAAAGTTAACCACGGAGCTCTGCCCATGCATTTATGCGCAAGAATCAACAGGAGCTGCCGAGCTGGGGTGCTGGGGAGCTGGGACCTGGGATTTATTGATTGGTGATGCAGGTGCACACACTCACCCTTGTCCTGCTACACTGATAAAAAAAAGCAATAAATCCAAGTATTACATAATCTATTTATATATATTTCTCCTTTGATTTTTACTATTTAAAAGCTAATATTATATAATTGAACATTATTCGGAGTAGATTTTAATGTATAAAGTATTTTTATTTCAATTTAAAATTAGAAAAAAGAAGAAAATCCACGTAATACAGGCTCCATTTTTAATATTCTTAGCTTTGGTTTTCATTCCTTGCGGTTTATAGTAATTTTTAATATGAAAACTTTTATTAGTTACTAACTTAACTATATTCGGCTAAAATTTAATATCTAATAATTTTTTAATTTAAATTAATATCACATTTAAGTTGAAAATAATGCCTATGAAATAAATAGGAGAAATTTTATATATAAAATTTATTGCATTAATTCAAATATTAACATATAAGTGTAGTGTACAGATATACAAACAGATAAATGTCCTGGCTTTGCAGTTGACTGCTCCTCCACATTGTTGTGTATTGTGTGTGTGTAAATTAGCAACGAGCAGCGAACAACGAACAACAAGCAACATCATCATTAGCAGCAGCTGATGCTCCTGTTTCTGCGCCTTGGTTGCCATATTTCATGGTGGCAACTTCTGATGGCTGCACAATAAAATTTAATTAACAGCAGATGGAGGATGATGATGAGGATGTGGATGAGGCTCAGGCTGAGAGCTCCCTGTTGCATGCAACAGACTTGTGCAACACATTGACCTTTGCCAGCCAGCCAAGTGGTAAAAACAACTTCATTAAAACTGACAACGAGAAGAGATGGGAGATGGGAGATGGGAGTGGCCCATCTAACTTTTGCAGCATTTTCCTATGCATTTATTCATTTCATTTGAAAAACAAATATTTGCACCCATTCTGTGAGAGCTTTCTGTAATGCCAGATAGTTTTCATATCTCTGCATTTAATGAAATTCAGTTCAATCTGGCGAGTAAAGCGAGATATCCGAAATCCAGGCCAAATGCAAAAGTCATCTCGCATCGAAATTGGTTTTTACATTTTTCGCGCATTTTCACATTTTCAAATCAGCTTGCGAATGCATTATTAATTAGTTGGCCGTTGCCATGACAGAGCGGAGCATTGAGAAGTACGATATTTCAAATGGATATGCAGTGCTAATGCAATTTCCATGTAGAAAGGTCAGGAAAAATTTCCTACGTATTGCGTATACGCCACGGTGGCCGCTCTATTTTCGGCCAAATGGAATGCGGCTAACCTCTGGCTGCTGCCGCTTTACATCATGCTCTGCGGTTGATTTGGCACACAAACCGCAATTGTTCAGAGATATATAGCTATGGATATATAGCTAGGCTCTCTATTGAATTAGTGGATGCAATTTGAAAAGAGCCCTGCAAATTGCTTTTTTATCCGCTATGCAAAGCGTAATGAAATTAAAGCCATTTGTTTGGGGTTATATGTTAAATGAAACCTTTAAAGCCGTTTTTGATTTAAAAGCTAGTCTTTTGTTTCGTATACTTTCGTTATTTTGCTGAAACTTTTCTTGCTAGAAAGTTACGGTGCAATTTTCTCTGACAGGTGAAAACACGTATGCATTCTTCTTTCCCTAGGCTTTAACCGAAAAATCTCTTGCTGACGTCCTGTGGCTGTCGGGATTTTCGTATTCCGTACTCCATTCCACAAATATTTGGTTGATCCCTTCGTCATCCAGTTTGAAAGTGGAGCAAGGTTTCTTTCCACTTTTACACTCACTGATAAAAGAAATGGAAAGGTAAAAATAAATATATGGCTATTAAATTCCATATTTATATATCATATAAATCATAAACAAATGGAATAGTAAAAATTTTGAATACAAAAACATAATATTAAATACATAGCATACTGAATTACATATTTTTTTGTTAAAAATATTAATAATTTAAAAAAAGTTCACATTCATATTTACCTATAGTAAAAAAGAACCTAATTAGATAAAACTCAAATCGAGCTTTTATTTACTATATTTTTTTTATCTGTGCTGGCACATAACTTTGCACATGGCCAAAATTCATAAAGATTGGATGACTGCGTACTGAAGCTATCCAGTGGATAGTTTGATACTTTTCCTTTTTTTTTCTGGCAAACCAAGGATAAGTGCGAATGTGAGCTGGAAAAATAATTGCTGTTCTGAAATTTAAAGCGCCCCGATTCCGACGTCAATTTAATTTCTCAAATGGTGAGGGCAAATAGCAAACAACTTGCAACTAATGAAAATGCACTTAATTTGCGCCACGCTCAAGTCGTTTGGAACAAATTGCTGTCTGCTGGGTGCGGGGCTTTGTTAACGTGAACATATTGCCGACATAATCGAGTATCAGAACAGTGAACCAGAAAGGAATGCCTTGAGCCTTGAAGACAAGGCTCCTTTCGATGAAGGAGATATCCTTGCGCTCGACTGAATACGAACTTTTACGAGTTATTTTCCCCTGCTATTTTTTTGGTACGCTCCATTTGGGTTGGGAAATGGTGGGGAAAAGCGTAGGAAAATGCCACTGAAAATGCAGTTGCATCTTTGCAGCTAAGCCCAAAACTTGTCTGTCGTTTTAAGCGCCGCAATTACTGCCGACAGGCTCACAACGCACTTTATACCATAGTATATAGTATATGTGAGTGTGGCAGTTACTGTTGCATGTGGCTGCTGCATTTTCCTCACACTTTTCCCTCATTTTCCCTATTGTCCCATAAGCCAGAGACTTATACCAGTTTTCAGTTTGAGTTTCCGTCCAGGGGATTAAGTTGTGCTAAGTGGAAAACAGTTGGGCTGGCGTAGATTAGAGATTTTACTCGAAATTGGTTGCCGAAAATTGGGACAGAAATTGAAAGTAAAACGCTTGGGGCTTATTCCTTGTCTACTCTTTGCATAGCAACATTTTGAATAGGCATTTCATTGAAATATTAAACCAAAGTATTTATCAATATTTCACAAATACTTTGAATTTTATTGCAAAGCAAAATACAATACAATACAATTCACATAAATGAAAATTTCACATGTGGCTTTAAATAAAATTCACTTAAATTAAATTAAAGAAAATAATTTCAAATAAAAATTGATACTATAAAATTATAAAACTGGTATGTTTATTAAGATTTCACAAAGTAATTGGAATTTTATTAATAAAACTATAAAAAATAATTTTTCAACAAGGCTTTTATTAAACTTAAATTAAGGCATACATAAAGAAATGTTTTTATAAAATATAAAATCCGTCAAAGCAAAAGCAATAAACGTAAACATTATCCACAAAAATACCCATAATTTAATCGATATAGATATAAAAAAAAAGTCAAAAAAACATTTTTGTTTATTTCGTGCAAATGGCAGGCCACAGGAAATAATAATATTTTGTGTGTACTGGTTATGGCATGTGAGCCTTTTGATAGCATTATCTGTGCTCTCTAAAGCTTTCCTGAAATCAATGAATTTGCGGACTCTAGTCTGTCATATTTAGTAGATTTTAGTGGCAATTCAATTTTGTGGTGGCACAAGATTCCAGTATCGGTTCGGAACACTCATCAATACTTCAGACTGGCCAATATTATGCGATGTCCTGTCGAGTTAATTAAACTTTCCGAACTGAAGGCTTTCCATGGCCAAATGAAGATGTAATTAAGAGATAAGACTGGAAACAATGGGCACACACACACACATGGGCACAAGATGAGTTACGCCCCCTTTCTCAAGATGCCGCCCACCTGAACTTTACCCATGGCAGGGCTTCAATCTCGAAGTAACGAAGAGGTCGGAGGTCCTGAAATAAGCAATCGAGTGGAAAAAAATATATTGAATGGCCAATGAACCAGACCAGGCACTCCAGACAGTCCCCTCGTATTTTCCACGCTCCCAATTGGCAGGAAAAATTGCAGACAATCATGGGCAGCCAGGGAAAAGAGCAGCTGGGAAACTGACAAAAGCGTTGCTAATGAATAATACCCGTAATCATCGTTAGGATGCAGGCACATAAAAATATAGAACAACAAAGAAGGGAATATAACAATAAACTGGTAGCCATAATCAATGGCCTCGACTAGATGGTGCTCAGTAGAGAATACAAATAATCGCGAAAAATACAAAATGAAAATGAATACAGACAATTTAATTCAATTTTATTTTCATTATATAAAGTCAGCCTATAAAAAGCTGACAAAATGGTGAAAAATACTTCAATTATTTTCATCATAAATTGTTTATAATTTAATCTGTAAGCCAACAATAATTTTAAGAACTTTTATATCAAGTATCTTTATGCTAAGCCATAAGTTCTTTATTTAAAGAATTTAATGTGCAAATATGACATGGAATTTGAATACGTTTTTTCAAGCTTTCTCCCAAACGTTTATCACCAAATTTAATAGGTTTATTAGCCCGCACTTTTGTGCCCTTTTGAGATATATATCCCGATCGTAAAGCTGCCATAATGGGAATCCAAATCGCTGTCTGGCGGCATTCTGAAGGGTGCCCAAAAAATGTCATAAAAATTAACGTGCCATCGTAAATATCTGGGCGTTGGGCTCGACCCCGGTATATATATATACATTTATATATATATACATATGTTATATTTGAGTGCAAATATGCGTAAAATTGTTCAGAGGACAACCCATGCACAGCAGTTACAGTTGTAGATTTTGGCACATTAAAATAGAAGGAAAAAAAGAGGGAAAAAACAGGCAACTGGTTGCTAGTCTTTCCTTTGAGTATTATTTCCCCCACATAAATATGGCCTGGAAAATGGGAAAATGTTCTAGGTTTTTCTTCCCCCAATTTGGCCGCAAGGCAAATCCCTGCAATTACTTTGTTGCCACTTTGTTTTTGGCTTTGCCCGTTTGAAGTTCCCAATTTTGTGGCTTTCTATATGCTTGCCCTTGGCAGCGAAACCATTAGAACCATTTAAATGGTAACTTGGGCGCAAAAACTAAACCCACAAGAAAATGTTCTCACATGTTGCGTAATGTATGTAAATGTATTTATTTGAAAAAAGTGGAGAGGGTGAGGGAGGGAATCCTTCGGCAAAAGCAAATAAATGTTAATTTAATGTTAATATTGTTTACTTCGCCCACGCCTTGAAGGTGGAACAAAAGCCAAAGTCAAACAGATATGGGAAACCAAAGTCATGGAAGTGTTTCTTGGCCTGCGGCAAGTGTAAAAAACATACGTACATGCAAAATTCATTGAGCAAAATGTTGGGGAACAAGGGCCAACAGCTGCTCTCGATTGCCAGCATGGGTTAAGGGTTGGGCCTTTGGGGTGTTAATACCCATTCCATTCGAGAAATAGGACATGTGTAGGCGTGCGGAAATTTAATAAGAACTGGATTTTTATGTGCCACGCATACGCAAATAAGCGTTTTGGCCCCACACACACACACACACACACACACACACAAAACACACAATACATACCAGGCAAATGTGTATTTATGTGTTCCTATTGCGATGTTTGGCCTGCTGTAATCACGCTCCATTGGGCGTCTCTAATTTGGCATTAATACAGCTACCCAATCCCCTGCCCCTCGTGACCCCTGACCCCTGACCCCAGAGCTCGCTCGAGTGACCTCCGAGCTAATGATTTGATTTATCTAACGGAGACCGCACCAATAAATTGCCTCACCTGCGTTGCATACTTTGCGGCGCCACTGTAATTGATTTGGCTTGTGGTTGGGCCAAACAAATTAGGGTCAGAAATCAAATATTTCTTCATTATATGTTTGCTGAGATCGCAATTGTTAACCCACACTTTTTAAAAAATTATGAACAATTAAAATTTGTTTTTTTGTATGTCATGAATTCTTGCAAAAGATCATGAGACTGAAATATGATTGTTTATAAGCAGAGACTTGGATATACTATAATATAATTTTATAACCCAAATTAAAAATTTGAAATCAAATAATGTTACCATTGGTATTACCATCCAAGGAGCCTTGTTATTGAAATCTGAAAACTTCCCAACTAAAAACCCACATTATCTCTCTGCCACTTGTTCTATACGAATATAATTTTTTGATACCAAAACAAAATTTCCAGTGAAACTAACCAAATTTCTGTATCAAAAACTAGGACAATGTCTAGCAAAAAAGCAAATAATTTCACACCTGCGAACTTAGATGATTTGGCCAACCAGCTTTTTGATAAGACCAAACAAATGAGCTTGTCGATTAAGGATCAGCGCAAATTGCTGAAGGAATATTTGAGTGCCAAGATAGAGGGCAGCGATGAAAGTGAAAAAGAGGAGGAAAGTGATACTGACTCTTACTCTGAAAGCGATAGTGATTCCGAGAACGACTCTTATTCCGATTCAGAGGATGATTCCGATACCGAATTCGATGAGGAAACGGAGGAAAGCAGCGAAGAATCTAATTCTTTAGATGATGATAGGGAAATAACAAAACCTACTAAAGCAGTTACTCAAATGAGTGAAAAAAACCTGGCTGCCAGTCTCGTTGATAAAAAAAAAGGTAATGAAATTTCTACCAGAGAACATAAGCATTCTAAAAGCTTGGAAACTAAACTCGTGTCCTTGAGTCAACCCACCTCCCGCATTCAGCATCGAACTACAATGGCTGGTGGCTTGGTAGCTGCTCCAATTCGCAATTCCTTGCCTTTTAACAAAGAAGTAAAGCTGCCATCTAAATCAGAAATCAAATCCTGTCAAATAGCCAACAAAGTGACACTCTCGCCACGTGCGGAAGACCAAAAACCTCTAAATAAACCTAGTGTCAACTTAAAAGCTGGTGATTTCTCCAAAGAAATTAAACAAACCACAATTAAGCTTGCTGATCCCAGGAGTTAATTTTGTAACTTTATTTATTTAACTCATTTTATACTTTGTAATACAATTAGTAAGTGACCTTGAAGCTTAAATAAATTATATGTATGATAACAAACTTATTTTTACTAAAAGCTCTTGCTTGTCTGCCATTTATACTTAAAAATACTTAAGAACTTTTAGTAAACTGGCTGCCAATTTTGGGTGATGCTTTTGAACTAAAAAATGTAATTTTAAAGATAGCTGTGTGATTTAAAACCATAAAGTGTCTTGACTTATTTATTATAACTGATTTCTTTAACCAGGAAACTTTTGGCAATTCCTCCTTAGATGTTCCAGTTTATTCCATTACGAAGTGGCGCCGAAACAAACCAATTATAACCATTAGAGCTAACCACAATAGCACATAATTCCGCCAATTTAAATTAATAAACTATCGAGAATGTAGGTCATATTTAATTTGACATTTTTGGGACTCTACTTTCAAAAGCAACTTTAATTGGACTCTGGGGGCTGTCAGGTGGAAACTTTTGTGGTGTCAAATATTTGACCTAAGTTTGCCTTCACTTCACCGATAAACTGGGCGATTTTGTCAGCCAAATGTTTTGGTGAAAGTTTGCGGAATAATTTGCAGTTGTTTTTTGGGCTGGCCCGTTTTCTATCGTTCGGTTGTACTTTGGGTGGCCATAATTTATGCAAAAAATCTAATGAATTTTTCATGTACAACACAGCAACGGCGGTCGAGCAAAAACTTTGCGCAAATTAATGAAAATTCATGAGCGAATCCTGTATTTTTGGTGTCCCTCCTTCGATTTTTCCCCCCCAACTCCCCCTTCCTCTTGCCACGCCCCATTTAATGGGCACAAATTAAAAGCTGCCTTAACATTAATGAAAACCAAAAAAGCGAAAAAGAACGGAAGAAGGAAAGTGAAAATGAAAATGAAGGGCACGTCGGCCGGAAAATGGTGAAAAATGTGGCCCAAGCAATAAGCAATCAAGATTTGTGTGTATTCTTTTATGGCAAATTGGAAAAGTAATTGCACATAAAATTCATTGAATCGCAAAGTGTTGACGATGACTGCAACTTATTTGTATTTGTATTTGATTTATTAATTTATTTTATTAAGCAAGTTAAAATACTTTTAGGGTTTTGTTTTTGTTTTATTTTATTTTTTTAATTTTTAATTTAAATATTAATCTGTATACATTTGTTACATAGTTTTATTTTCTAATAATTATTCCATAAAACTGCTATTGCTTTATTGCTATTTATAAAAAATGTTCTTATTCAGCACAAGCTTTTGCACCTTGAAGGTATAAAGTTAATGGTGCTTTGTGAAATTGCTTCGGCTTCCTCGGTAGTTATAAATCAATCAATTTCATTTCAATTTAGTTTATTTTGTATGCTTTTAAAGCCAATTGCAATGGATTTGCATTGGCATTGAGTTTGGTTTTGGCATAAATCCATCTGAAATGAGGGGTGGTGACTGATGCCTTTTGGGGGTTAACTTAGGATGCAATTGCTGACTTGCAGTGAGCATAAAAGCCGCAGGCTGGGAATCAAAGGATGCCTGGCAACCTGTAAGCCCGAGGCCAGCAATCAGTCGTCATATTTGGAATTTTGATTTCGATTCGGATCCCAAATGCGTATTCGATTGTGGGCGTGGGCTTCAAACTACTGCTGCAGCTCGATTTCCATTTCACTTTTGGCCCTGCAAGAGTTCAGGTCCATTTCAGGTCGCTTTTGGAAACGGAATTTCTAATAAATTGCACAGAAAGTGCACGGGTAGAGGTGGAGAAAAAGGCAGAGGTCACATTCAAAGGACCTCATGAATGAAATGCAAAATTGATGTGCCAACCGGACTTTACTGGACTACATTTTACCTGTACCGAAAGCATGTTTATCATGCTAAGATTGAGCGGAGAACACGTATATTCAAATTGAAACAAAATAATGCCACTCACTGTCATCATTCATTTTAAATTGAAACTGGGGATAGGATGCCCAACTCATCCTTCGCATTTTCAAGCGTAATTTGAACACGGCTCGATGCAGATGACCAAAGCAGATTCTTGGTAATGAGACAAGCAAGTTCGTTAGGAATTTCATTGAAAGCAGTGAAAAAGATTGGAAATTTGTCATTCACACAGACAACAGATAATGAACGAGCAAAAAGCTCTTGGGAACTGTGTGCCTGAAAATTTAAAGTTTTTGATTCACAAGAGACACTGCTAAAGTAGAGATTTAAAATCGGTGAATAAAGGAAATAAGCTTTTTAAAGCATGTTTTAGGCTTAACTATTGTTTAGGAAAATATGAGATAAACTACTTAATAATATTTATATTTTAAAAAGTATTTTTTCTGGCAAATTCATTTAAATAAATGCATTATGCTTAAAAAAGAAAATAAATTGCAGTCTTGATGCTGAAGACTAAAAGTGGTTGTGAAAAGGAATTTAAATAAGCTATCAGTATTTATTATCCAATTTAAATCAAGTTTATGTTTATTGACAATTCACTTTTTTAAGACATATTAATTTCTGACAGATGTATTGTATAAATGCATGCTAAAATAAAGAAAATAAAGTACATAAAGGATTTAATTTCATAACTTAAGGCGACATTTGAAAGTAATGATTAATGAAATACAGCCTTGAAGACAATATAACTAATCTTTACAATCTTTAGCTTCAAGCATGAGCAGTCACTTTTGATTGCATACTTTGAGGAGTCACCGACCACATCTCTTTACTTTTGGCAATATTTTTTTGGTTTCTATTGCACATGCCTTTCAAAGCTCTTCACATCTTGTTTATCGGATAAACAAACAAATTTTTCGACAGGTACTCAACACATATTTGAACAATGTTGACATCCAGCAGTCGCTTGTTGGATGAACCATAAACAAATAAACATTTTTGTTGCCTCACAGAATGGAAACCGAGTTCCCTTGCCCCGAAAACACTTTATCTTTCCTTTCCGGGCCTGGTCAGAAGTGGCACTCAATTTATTAGTCCTAGGCTGACGAAGGATGAGGCGTCAAAGTGGCTGCCATAAAAAGTTTATATTTATGCTGGACGTTGAACTAGAAACAGAAAACCATGGAGCCGCCTAATTGCGTGCCAAATTTGCTTGGGTCACTGGCGTCGGTTGAGGCCAGAAATATTTGTTTAGAAATGTGGCTAGATAAATCAACGAAACCACCACCACCCGCACTCAGAGAAAAGCCAGAGACAGTTGGCATACCAGAAGGACAAGCTCATCCTCCTAAATTCCTCCCTCCGATTTCCATAGACCCCAACCCTTAAAAAAAGCGACGTCAAACGTGTTTAAAATTTATGAATAAAATGAGTTCGCATAAATCAAAGAGCCGGCGGCGTCACAGAGAAAATGAAAAACGGCTCAGTGGCAGCAACATGTTGAGGGAAATTGCACAGAACAAAAATTACATATACAACGTAATATTTTTCGAAAATGACTAAAACTTATTTTAGGCTTTACAAATAAGTAAGGTATCAAAATTAAATTTACATCTTAAATATAGGGGGTGCTAAACAAATCAATAGGCTTTTAAAATTACTATGGAATAGTAATACTATGAAATAGTAATAACATGCAATAAATTTGTAAGCCTAAAATTCGTTTAAATTATATATAGGAACCTATAAAGAAATACTTGATATAATACTTTTCCACTGTTTTAAAGTCGTATAGAAAGGATTCTAGCTTTTAAACTTGAGTTCTAGTAGATGCAAAGCCGTGGTTTGCTTGTCATATGGTCCCGAAAAATCCCTTTGAGCTTTAGAGTTACTTCTTTCGTGTGAAAAACACTCTATTTTTTCCATCTGTGTGGGGCTTGTCCTGCCAAGAGGAATGCCCCACTCAAAGGAATGTGGCTGCAGGACCCGCTGGAGCTGCTGGAACTGGAGCTGCTGTGAAATGCCGCCGCTTATTTACACTTAATAAAGCTGCAGTCTCAACTAAGCCGCGGCAAAAAAAAAACTAAAAAAAAGGGGGAAAAATACAGAGGGAAAGGCAATGCATCCTTGGTGCGTTTTTATTTGTTTGTCATTCTGTTGGCGCATGTGTGCGATGGCATTAAACGCTTAGCAAGTCAAGTAGGCAGGAGCGACTTTAATGCATAAACAGGCGCCAAGGCTCCAGTTTTGAGTCCTGCGTCCTGAGTCCTTGTTATGCTGCCCTTTAACGAGCTGTGTGGCACACTTGCATCATGTTTGTTTTGCCATTGGCCCTGCCATTTGGCACCACCCCATTCCCTGGAAAAGTCCCCTGGAAAAGCCTTGTCGTTGTCATGATTAATGTCCTTTGTTATTATTTATTTTCTTTGTGTCGCCTACCCTGACAGTTGTTGTTTCGCCTTGTTTCGCCTCGTTTTGCCCCAGCATTGACACGTAATGTCAACGCAAACGCCAGTATTGTGCCCCGCGGGCGACTTTAACGCATCTCTTTTTTATCCTTATCCTGGCTAAGGAAAATTTGCTTTTATGTCTCACAACATCCTGACTGGTCTGGTAATTGTGTGCTAAGCACAAGTAATTTTTTTTGGTAAATGTACAATGTATCCATAGCAACATTTCAATTTCAACTGCCTTTCATTTGTAGAAATAAGATGTTCTTGAAATAAAATAGTCTTGAATGCAAATTGAAAGGAAGTCAAAGGGCTTTCGAAATTTGTTGTCTAGTAAATCAGTTATTAACTTTTGTTGTGTTTAAATAATTAAATTTCTTAAAGCCCTTTGAATTTAAGATCCCTTTTTGTGACTTTTATCTTGCTATTAAGATAATTAAAATTGTAAGCAGATTTACTCTTTGACAAATCTCTTTTTTTCCAAAAAGGTTGTAAGAAATTGTATTTTTAAGATTTAAAAACCATTTTTAAGATTCCTCTCCAGCAAAGAATTATATTTTCCGATTTTCCAATTTTCACCGCGTCAAAAGCAGAGAAATTTTGTATAAATAAAAGCATTGGTAAATATTTCACCCTTCTCTTCCCAATCTAAACGTCATTTGTGGGCAATACCCAAATGAACTTTGTCCATTTTACCTTTTAATCTGTTCCCTGATTATGTTATACAAAGTTCCACAAAATCCAACTAGTTCAAGTTTTGAGTGTCCCATGAAATGTGTGTGTTGGCACACTTTTATGACAACACTGCTGCTTTCACTTTGGCTGCTTGGGGTAAATTCAGCACGTAATCAGAATGCGGACATTCGTTATTGTCATTAAAGATGTCGGCGGGCTCTCAACGCTCAACGCTCGCCTCCGCACATATATACATATAAAATATTACACATACCACACGTTGGCCGCCTGGCCAAACCACACGTGCCTGCGACGTGGCCCGGATGACAGGGGGGAAAAATGTCGTTATGAAATGAAAATCTTTCATTTTTTTGCCTTCTTTAAATGCCTTGACCCCAAAGCAAACAGCAGAAGAAGGACCTGGACGAGAGTAAACATCCCCGGCCAGGCGGAAAATTCCGAAAGGAGCTTCCTTTTTTAACTATAGTATGTGTAGTGGGTGCGCTGGGCCGGTGGACATCAATCAAAATGCAGGGGCTTCCTGTTGCCCACGACAACCACAACCACAATGCTCTTGGAATTTTCAATTTCGCCTTTGGGGGCGGCAAAATTTATTAAATTGTTGCGTCTCCAGTGTGTTTCTGTGTGCCAGTGGCATAATTTAGGCTGTCCAAGATTTCCCTACAGTGGCGACCCTGAGCAACCAAGTTGCCAGCCAGCCAACTTATCAATCAATTCCAGGACAAGCACAAAAGAACGAAGGACCCACTTGCTCCCCCCATCACAGATTTTGATTTGTTGATTGGCAATAACGATGAATGCAGGCCACGATTCTTTGCCATTTCCTTCTTGCGGTCGAGGTCTTCACTTCTCATTCCCTATTGGAAAGCGTTGCATAGCGAATCGCATCGAAAACGCCATAAATAATAGTTGTTGCATCACGGAATGGTAGATAGTTTCTCGGCAACGGGGATTTTGTTGCCGTAAAAGCTTTTAGTTCTTTGGCTCTTATTTTTATTGCCACGCTCGATGTCCAGAAACGCATTTGCGTGGCTCAAAAATGGCGTTAAAATGGCCTATGAATGCTGCACGTAACGTAACATTGCGCATACGCCGTGTGGTCTTATCACTCGTCGGGGAAGGGACAACAAAATAGAAAAGGTAAAATCGAAAATAAGAAAAACAATGCAGGCCGGCTTACCTGCACACAGAAAAAAATTATAAATAAACATACAAAATGGTTACTATTTTTTTAATGAATTTAAAATCATGTATTTTTCGTGAATTTTTTTCGTTTATAACATGGTAGAAAAACTATTTACTTTGTCGTTTTCAAAAAGTAAAATTCTGAATTACCTTCTACAAAAACCCTTTTGTTGGAAATGTAAGTGTCTATAAATAACTTCTTTATAACTTTATCCAAAAAATAATATTAAAATACCGATAGATAAATAAAAAAAAAATGATGCAAAAAATTTACCATAGTTGAAAACCCATTTTATTGTGACAACTTTTATTTTTGTGTGTATTTAAGCATGGGTGAACTACTATTTTCATAACAGTTTGATAGTTAATTTAACTGTTTTATTTGTTTTATATTATTTCTCTCTGTGTGGACAACAACGTCGGCCATGAGTTCGCATATTTATGAGCCGAGTCCGAAGGACCTGCAAAGCGTCCTGATCCCTCGGGACGATTGGTCTCTTCAGGCCGTCAGTCTTTTATTGCAGAGGGGAAAATATACCAATTAGAACGCTCACTTGCCGCACTGCCCATCTGATTTAATTAGTTTCTATTTTCGCGCTGCGCTGCCTTTAATATTGCTTTCCGTCTGGCATTCAGGTCACGTCTCTGCTGGCCTATTGATAAACAGACAGACGACCTCTTTCGCCGCCACATTTATTGACTGTTTTGCCAACGTTTTTCCCAGGACTTGCCATTTCTTTCCCAAGGAAAGCAGACAAAGTGAGCGTTTATGGTGCTTTTGCTTTTGCCCTTAGCTGTTGCTCTGGTGGAGTGCACTTCAATCTGTCGACTCGACAATGCTGAAAGGGCTGAAAGGGATAGGAAGGACTCCATATGGCCAAACAATGTAGCCACTCGACTGCTAACTACACAGAGAATAAAAATCTAGTTTGCCGCACTTGAGCCCAAGAGTCATTAAGTATTTTAAAGTGCAACTTGGATGGCAGGTACTTAAGTGAAAAATGGCAGACGCATTTTCCACTTAAGTTTTTAATAGTCTTACTTTTATAACAATAAGTATGATGAGATGAGTTGATAGTTTGCTGTTTAATTGAATCAATTTTAACATATGGGGTGTTTAAAAACTGTATTCTGACTAATTAAAACAAATAGACCAAACTTAAATTGTTACATAAGCTAAGTTTTTTATGGTCTTACTTTTATAACATTACCAATGGTGGGAATTAAACCATTAAAGCAAACCAAATTTGTCATAAGCTCTCTATAAAAATATTTTCATTTAAGAAACAACAAAATAAACAAAGAGTCATAAAGAATTGTATAGCTAACTTAAGTACAAAAATTCCTTTTAAACTAATCTGATTTTAATAATGGGCTTTTTAAGAAAACATATTGCTAAAAATATGTTAATATAGTTTTCTTCCTACAAATAACTTGTTGAAATTGGCCAGTAAATTGGTTACTTGCCCTGCTCATTTTTTCAGCTGCTTGATGAATTCATCAGTCCATCTTTTCCCTACCCAAGCAAAGTCTTTTTTTTCTCGAAGTTACTTCATTTCTCGGCTTTCATGGAGCTCTTATCAACAAGGGACCGGGATTCTCAGACCGTTGAGATTAATATTCGCCGCCCTTTTTGCCCTGCCTGCAATTATTCAGCAATTAAAAACAAAACAGCCAGAAATGCGGGATTCGTGGGTTGGCAAGGAAAAAGAAGGGTGGTTGTGGCAGCTAAATGAAATTGCTTTGGCTTAATTAATGGCCAACGAATGTCGAAGCGTCGTCGCCCTTTTCGTTTTCGGTTGTCACAGGGCAAAGTTAAAGCCAGGCCAAGACCACGAAAACTGTTGACAACAAAGTTCCAAAGTGACGCCATTTTTGGGCGTGGGTTTTGGAGCACGACAAACAGGACGAACTGAACGAACAGGACGAACAGGACGTGCGTAACACACATGATGCTAGTCCCCTAGAAAAGCAGATGGAGGCAAATTTTTCACTGGCAAATTCCCAATGCGATGCGGGCGTTCTCCTTGACGTCACATACAGCTGAGGTCATTATAATAGTAGTGGAACAATATAAAGTGTTAAACAACATAATTTTAAGGCATAGGACAACTTTTTTTTTAGTTTAATAAGCAAAATCTTCTATGTTGTTATTCGTTTATCTGCACTTCGTATTTAAATTTATATGCTTGATATTTTTTTTAAGTTAAAAATTTATAAACATTTTTTAATTATTCTAACTAAAGATAAATGCGGATTCTTGCGCCACTAAGTTTATGGAATAATATCAATAAAAATATAAACGAAGTTTTTAGAAGTTGCTTTCGAACTATTTTTATTGCTAAACTACTACTAATATGTTGGCCGCAACCGTACATGGAGACACGCTAACAGACATTTGACTAACGGGCAAAAGAGGATATATTCGGGCATCCTCCGGGCCAGGAATTTGTAGTTGTCTTCAGGACTGTGTGTGTGTGTGTGTGTGTTGGCCATGTGCGACATGCTCATAAAAAGCGTTTATTTTAGCCAAGAGTCAAGCAAGCAGGAAAAACAGGGGGTGGGGGTTGGGGTATGAGTAAGTATCTGGGGATATGGGTATATTGGGGGTGTCGAGAGTCTGCTTAGCGACGTAATGCTGATTTGGCTCTTACCACATCATTATGTCTCAACTAAAAGACAGCTCTGCTCAACTTTCCACTTACCAGCTCATAATGGCGTCGCTTAAACAACTCTTTCATGTACTAACCAAAGACTTTTTTTTCTCGCTTTTCTCTCTACTTTCTCCACAGGCTGCCAGTTTGTTAGGACGCTATGCATACCGCACTCCGAGGTCTGCTACGATGGTGAGTAAGATATAAGAAGTAAGATATAAGCTATAAGATAAGACGGCTACACCCAGTTAAGATGGTCTTAAGCCCCCGATTGTGGTTATCAGTCAGTATGAGTCAAAAGGGAGCAAAAGGATGCCAAGTTCGTGCAAATTGAATTTGCACACCATGAGAAAGGGATTAGTTCCACTGGTATACGAATAACTTAAAGAGCTTAAATACAACCACCACTAAGTTCTTGGCATTAGGTATGCCAAATGGCAGCTTACGTTTAGTTTATTGGCTTTTATTTGGAAAGAAATACTTTAATATGCCGGAAAAAAAAAACCCAATTTAAGTATGCAAAATATGATGAAAGCTTAATGTTTTTTTATTCATACTAGAAGTAATTAGCTTCAACAAGTCATTATTTAGTATTTTAATATATTATATATATACAAGTTGGCATAAATTCAAAAATAATAAGTTTCAATATTTATTATTTATTTGTTTTGTGTATTTTTATTTGAGCAGCATGAAGTATCTCAGTTGGAAATTATTTGCCTTTGGTTGAAAATAATCAAGCTTAAGTGAAACCAAATATGGCAAAGCAAGCTTTCTTAATAAAAACTAAAAGAAAACTTTTTGAGTTAGAAATTAGAAATTAGTAAACTTAATGAACAAACTAGTATTTAGGTTGTTACCTGAAAAGTATAAAAGAGTCTTATTTTTAAATGCAAATGGATAAAAATCATTATAGAAAAACTTTTGCTTTATAAGCATTTCTTCATTTTCTACATTTTAATTTAATATCCTTTGAATTTTCAATTATTAAAAAGCACTTGCTTTTAAAGCTGGCAAATTAATATAATTTCATTTTTGTCCTATGACTGGTCTTTTAAATATATACATTTTTAGTTTAAATCTTTATATAACATATTATTATAAGAATTAAAGTACAAATTTCTCCAGATGTGTTAATTTTTACTTCAAATCACAAAGGCTTTCCCTACATTTTATTTTATGGACTAAAGTACAAATCTCACTACAGGACTTACTTTAATTGCTTTAAGCACTCCAATCCCAAAATACAATAAAAGCCTTCACTGTCGATTTCCGCCGCCATTATTCACTACAGTAGCCGAAATGCATCTTGAGACAAAAAAAACCCCATTTTGTGTGGGTTAAAGGGCGAAGAGTGAAAAGGCATCCAAGCTGAACTCTGGCCCCGGGCATATTATTCGTATTTGCAGAGCTCTCTTCAGTGCTTCGGTTCAAGAGTTCACACGGAACGACACCAAAACAAAGTGTGAGATTTCTAGGAGCAGGATCGGGGTAACCAGATTCTAGGGGCACACAAAGTGTAGGAACTGGCAGTGCATTATCGAGAACACACTCAATTACTTATGTAAGCACGGCGGAGGGCTAGAGAACAATTGGAAAAGCAGCTCCAGCTGCAGAACTGGCGGAAAAAAAAATGCTGCGAAAAATGGTGAAAATTGCACTGAAATGGTTGACCTCAAAAGGGGCGGTATAGGGCGAAAAGGGGCGTGGCATGGCATGGCATGGCACTCACATGTGCGGACTGCAGTTGTTGCAGTGGCAGTCGTCCGCATGAGAAGCATTTACATTATGCAAATTACGTTCGAGACAAGCCGCAAGGATATGCATTTAAATGGTCGTAAATCAGAATGAAAACAAAAGGTGCTGATGGCAGTATGAGGAGTAATCCGGAGGAGGAGGGAACACTCTACTGAACGAACCATTGTAAGAGTACCGCCATTAATGCAGTTACATGCCCTATTAATATCGGCACTAAAGATGACAATAGCGCATGTAAAAGAGCTCACAGTTCGTTTACGACCGAAATTCGGCAAGTGCAATTAGGGAAATGCGGAGTATACAGATGGGAGGATAAGACCTGTACTCGTAATTAACTTTTACGATCAGATAATGACACAATATGGGGGAAAATAAATTATAGAATTCTGGGCAAATAAAGGGTAGATGTTTTTAATGGTATAACTTTTGAGTTCCCAGGAATGTATTCTTTATTGAATTACATTTTTCATTTAAGACAATATTTATTTTTATTTTATTTTTAATTTAAGTTGTTACTATACTTCCGACATTCAATTTTATTTTTAAAAGAGTGAAATCAAAGAACTTCAACCATTCGTTTAAAGTTTCTCTGTCAACTATGTGAAAAAGTTTGAAAGTTTGCTATAACTCAAGAGCAAAATAAAGTGTGTATTCTTAAGTATGAAGTGAACGTTTTCAGTTGATAAAGATAAAAACAAGAAAGTATAACGAAAAACAACTAGTCCAATGGCTTCACTACTTGTTGTATAAAAAAGGAAATAGTAAAAGTAAAGTTATGGAATTAAATGTACTGGTTTTGGTTCACTTTTCTGCAAACATTTTTTAAAATTAAAATTTCATTAAATCGCTTAGAAAATCAAAAGAAAATCCAAGAGTGAAATTTCATTAAATTGCTTAGAAAATCTACAGAAAATCCAAGAGTGAAATTTGAATGCAGAATCGTAGATTACTAATCCACAAACCGTAGGAGGTATGCCTTTTTAAAATCGGATATCTGAGAGAAAAGTTATGCAATTAAAGGAACTGGGTTGAGGTCATTTTTCGACAAACATCCATTTTTGGGAAAAATTGAAAGGGGTACCATCATCAAAATTTCAAAAAAATCGACCCGAAATTACAAGCCAACATTTAAACGCAGATTTATGGGAAACTAATCCAAAAACCTAAAGAATTAAGTCTTTTCCAAATCGGATATCTGTAAGAAAAGTTATGGAATTAAATGTACTGGTTTTGGTTCACTTTTCTGCAAACATTTTTTTAAAATTAAAATTTCATTAAATCGCTTAGAAAATCTACAGAAAATCCAAGAGTGAAATTTGAATGCAGAATCGTAGATTACTAATCCACAAACCGTAGGAGGTATGCCTTTTTAAAATCGGATATCTGAGAGAAAAGTTATGCAATTAAAGGAACTGGGTTGAGGTCATTTTTCGACAAACATCCATTTTTGGGAAAAATTGAAAGGGGTACCATCATCAAAATTTCAAAAAAATCGACCCGAAATTACAAGCCAATATTTAAACGCAGATTTATGGGAAACTAATCCAAAAACCTAAAGAATTAAGTCTTTTCCAAATCGGATATCTGTAAGAAAAGTTATGGAATTAAATGTGCTGGTATTGGTTCACTTTTCTGCAAACATTTTTTTTTAATTTAAATTTCATTAAATCGCTTAGAAAATCTACAGAAAATCCAAGAGTGAAATTTGAATGCAGAATCGTAGATTACTAATCCACAAACATTAGGAGGTATGCCTTTTTAAAATCGGATATCTGAGAGAAAAGTTATGCAATTAAAGGTACTGGGTTGAGGTCAGTTTTGGACAAACATCCATTTTTGGGAAAAATTGAAAGGGGTACCATCATCAAAATTTCAAAAAAATCGACCCGAAATTACAAGCCAACATTTAAACGCAGATTTATGGGAAACTAATCCAAAAACCTAAAGAATTAAGTCTTTTCCAAATCGGATATCTGTAAGAAAAGTTATGGAATTAAATGTGCTGGTATTGGTTCACTTTTCTGCAAACATTTTTTTTAATTTAAATTTCATTAAATTGCTTAGAAAATCTACAGAAAATCCAAGAGTGAAATTTGAATGCAGAATCGTAGATTACTAATCCACAAACCTTAGGAGGTATGCCTTTTTAAAATCGGATATCTGAGAGAAAAGTTATGCAATTAAAGGAACTGGGTTGAGGTCATTTTTCGACAAACATCCATTTTTGGGAAAAATTGAAAGGGGTACCATCATCAAAATTTCAAAAAAATCGACCCGAAATTACAAGCCAACATTTAAACGCAGATTTATGGGAAACTAATCCAAAAACCTAAAGAATTAAGTCTTTTCCAAATCGGATATCTGTAAGAAAAGTTATGGAATTAAATGTGCTGGTATTGGTTCACTTTTCTGCAAACACTTTTTTTAAAATTTAAATTTCATTAAATCGCTTAGAAAATCTACAGAAAATCCAAGAGTGAAATTTGAATGCAGAATCGTAGATTACTAATCCACAAACATTAGGAGGTATGCCTTTTTAAAATCGGATATCTGAGAGAAAAGTTATGCAATTAAAGGAACTGGGTTGAGGTCAGTTTTGGACAAACATCCATTTTTGGGAAAAATTGAAAGGGGTACCATCATCAAAATTTCAAAAAAATCAACCCGAAATTACATGCCAACATTTAAACGCAGATTTATGGGAAACTAATCCAAAAACCTAAAGAATTAAGTCTTTTCCAAATCGGATATCTGTAAGAAAAGTTATGGAATTAAATGTGCTGGTATTGGTTCACTTTTCTGCAAACATTTTTTTTTAATTTAAATTTCATTAAATTGCTTAGAAAATCTACAGAAAATCCAAGAGTGAAATTTGAATGCAGAATCGTAGATTCCTAATCCACAAACCTTAGGAGGTATGCCTTTTTAAAATCGGATATCTGAGAGAAAAGTTATGCAATTAAAGGTACTGGGTTGAGGTCAGTTTTGGACAAACATCCATTTTTGGGAAAAATTGAAAGGGGTACCATCATCAAAATTTCAAAAAAATCGACCCGAAATTACAAGCCAACATTTAAACGCAGATTTATGGGAAACTAATCCAAAAACCTAAAGAATTAAGTCTTTTCCAAATCGGATATCTGTAAGAAAAGTTATGGAATTAAATGTGCTGGTATTGGTTCACTTTTCTGCAAACATTTTTTTTTAATTTAAATTTCATTAAATTGCTTAGAAAATCTACAGAAAATCCAAGAGTGTAATTTGAATGCAGAATCGTAGATTACTAATCCACAAACCTTAGGAGGTATGCCTTTTTAAAATCGGATATCTGAGAGAAAAGTTATGCAATTAAAGGAACTGGGTTGAGGTCATTTTTCGACAAACATCCATTTTTGGGAAAAATTGAAAGGGGTACCATCATCAAAATTTCAAAA